GGAGGGAAGGTTTAAGTTGGACATCAGGAGGCGCTACTTCACGGTCAGGGCGGCTGGAGTCTGGAACCAGCTTCCAAGTGAGGTGGTGCAGGCTCCCACCCTGGGGGTTTTTAAGAGGAGGTTGGATGACCACCTTACTGGGGTCATTTGACCCCAGTGCTCTTCCTGCCATGGCAGGGGATCGGACTAGATGATCTGCTCAGGTCCCTTCCGACCCTAGAAACTATGAAACTATGAATAGGCAGGGACATCTGCATCTAGAAGAAAGAGGAGCAGAAGGTGTGAATGAATGGACCCACAATATCTGTTCTGAAAGACCCGGGGAGCTAAACATCGCACAGCACCCTGGTGTGACAGCATGACATACATGTGGAGGTAGAGATCCACTATCCCTACCCCCAGTAGCATGGAGGTGCAGAAAGAGTGGGCAGACCTGACCCCCCCTGCTCTCACCTAACAACAAAACAGGAGGGAAACTAGTTTTACGAGAGGTGCTGTTGGGAAAGGGGAAACAGAAAACCTTCAGTGCTTTAAGTCAGGTCCTTGAGGAGCAGAGATTGATGTACTGTAGGGCTAAGTGTCGGCGCTCATTATCCATTTACATATTATAGCAGAGCCTGGGGGTTTTCTTGTTGGCCTCCCGCAGATCAAATGGCTGTGGATGACAACCAGCCAGTAAACAAGCTCGCAGGCATTCGATCTCTGATTTGCCAGGTGCAAACTCTGTGAAGAGTTCTCAACGGGAAGGCAGGCAGTATAGATTTGCCTTCTGCCATCTGCCAGGCCTCAGTCATTCACCCACGCAGATGAGACAGATCCTGTGTTTGCTCCTGAGGCCCTCCTGGGTTCTGGTTCCTGCCTCCATGCCCTGCCTGGGTCACACGTCTCACAGGGGCAATAATCTGCTCTTGCAACAAGTAAGAACAGGTGACAATACAAGAGACTCCACATGGGCAAGACAAGCCCCAAGGAGGGAGGACTGCCCAACAGCTTGGAGCCCCTGACTGGGGCTGGGACTGTTGGGTTTTCATTTTTTAGCCATGCCTCACAACCGACCCGTCAGGGGGATAATATCATTTCACCTCTGAGCCCACCTCAGTTTACCCCATCTGTAAAAACACACAGGGCCTTCCTTACTTCACAGGTGGCTTGAGAGGTCTAAAGCTGTAACATGTTAGCAGATCCAAGGATAAAAAATGCTGGAAATGGACCACTTTTTAAGTGATACTAAACTAGACTTTCTCAGAACAACTGGAGCTGACAAGTGACCTGGCACATTTTAAAGTCATGTTTTTTGAAGACTATTGAAAAGGCATGTCAAGGGACTGCCAAGGGACTGCCTCTTCATGTCTCTCTCTCTGAGCTGCTGCCATTTGGGAGTCAGCAAAAGCAGACCTGACAGGCGACTTTTCCCAAGGAAACTCTGCATGAGCTGACTCCTAAGAAGTATTATCACCAACAGCACCGATACAACCCCTCGTCTTCACATAGCACTTCTCAGCCCTCCCCAAAGGACTTCCCAAAAGGAGGTCTGAGCAACCTGCCCACTTCACAGACAAGAAACATGCAGGAAACGGAAGGGGTCAGTGACAGAGCCTGCACCAGAACCACCTGAAAAACCACAACCCCTGTTTGAAGCCAGAAGACACAGCGAGTGTTGTCCTCACTGAGTAATATAAGCACTGATCAATGCATTACACACCTCATATAAGGGCTTTGCTAAGAGCATGAATCAAAGCAGGCCTCACCAAAGGCTGACCCCACACCACTAGGATGCCTGCAGAAAGAAACCAGCCAGACAGTAGAGTGATTAGGGCAGTGCCAGGGAGTCTAGAAACGCACCTGCTGATGCAGAATGCCTGAGGACGCAGCAGAGGTGCTGAGGTTTGTTATGTAAATGCCTGATGCACCAGAAATGCTTACTTCATGTAGAAGAGGAAGCTTGGAAATCTCAGAAACAAGCATTAGGCTTAGGGGACACCAGCAATTGTGAGTTGTGCCTATGCCTTAAGACGAGCATCCAGGGCTAATAGCTGTCAGGTGTGTTCATGTGTTGGTGCTGTACAGGTCAATAAAACCAGCTGTGCTTCTGCCAGCAAATGGAGCCTTGTGATTTGTTTTTTGTGTAACACTGGGTCCTCAAAGGAAGCACCCACTGCATGCACCAGCACAGACGGTCGCATGACAGCATGCTTATATGCAAAGTACAGTGTGCAAGAGAGAACGTGGAAGAACAGCCCCCAGCAGGACCATGCTGCTCCCCCTGAACCAGAAGCAAGGCAGCTGCTCTAGCAAGGTGCTGCAGGGGGCTTGACTGGCAGTGCTTCTTGGCAGAGTTACCTAGCCCAGGGAGAGCACTGCTCCAACGCAGTTACCCTGCCCCTGCTTTGGGAGGTAGCAGGTGCAAAGCAGAGCGATGCTGCCTGCCGCAGTAACCAAGTTGTAGATGACCTGTTCTACAGGTGCTCAGATGCCCCAGTGATAAGCATGGTGCAAAGTATCTAGATTATTTAACTGTGTGTAATTTCTGCCCATCTGCCATATGCACTGTCCTTCTCAGGAGGCTTCCAGGTTCTCTCTGTCCTTCAGACACTGTCACCTGGGGGAGAATTTACTTAGTGTAGTCTGCCACATCTTCTGCCCCTGCAATGCAGACGTCTTACCTCCTGTTTCAGCACGTATGTACAATGGCTATAATTTTTTTTTCTTCAAAGTTCCTACCATTTCAAAGCATGCACAAGCAGCTTTGGGCTATGTACCCAGGCCACCCAGCTTCTCGATGCTTTTCAATCCATCTGAAATTTCTTATAATCCCACTATGCTTTTTATTAATGGGAACAACTTTGCATTATCAGTAACCTTCTAATCTAATCACTGTCTACTTCCTGCTCCAACATGATTAATGAATGTATTAAATCACAGTCCCAGCACTGTACCCCAGGACACTTCACTATTAACCTTGCTGCATTCCTTAGAAGAGTCTTGCAGCACAACTTCTGCTTCCTGCTACCTTCACCAGCTTCTCCATGACATGATTTTGCACCTTTCTCTAACTTCATTTTTCTCCACAGTCTTGTAGAGACACCTTTTCAAAAGCTTTTTCAAAATCCAAGCAAATTAAGCCCCCTCCATTACCTTTCTCTCTACCTTTATTAGCTTTTTAGCAGAATACAGAGGCATCCTTTTTCTCTTACAGGAACTGTGCTAGCTTGACCCTATCAGGTATTACTAAGCCAAGCTTTGCACTCTTCTAGCCTTAATTAAACCAGACTAAGAATCACAAGGAGGGTTTTTTGTATTCACCGAGCATTTGTTTGTTAGTCAGGAATGCATTTAAGAAGCTTTCCATAATAACTCTGTCATTTGCATTTCCATTAATCATCTATAAAGAAGCAGGGTGACGGGAAATGAACTCTGTGGCAAATCTCATCTCTCTTTCCTTTCCATTGTAAAAGTTAAAAGAATTCTTTTCTTAACCCCAGCCATGCCAGTTCTCCCCAGTACAGCTAGTGGGGATGAGCTTTGCGTTGAGAAAACAAGGGTAGCTGATGCCCCACTGTTTTTCTATTTGGACTGAAATATTACAAGGCCAAAATGAGATTTCTGCATTATGGAATGACATCTGGATTGTATTAATATGCTACCATACACACAGAGAAGAAATATATTTGGAGAAGGGTACTAAGCTGCCATGTGCCTTCCATCCTGATTAGGCTGTAGAGAGTCAGGTGGTAACAACCTTGCCTGCCCACAGCTTCTAAAATCAGGGTGAGACCTCTGGGCAGGAGTTAACCCCCAGTAGGGACTTACCACATTGCATGCATGTAGGTGGGAGGTAGACGTGGGCTGCTGACCGGGGTACAGTTGTAAGACCTCATAATCCTTTCCGCCAACAAGAAGTTGCGGAATAAGCTTGCCACCAGCAGGTCCTGCCTGAAAAGCTTCTGGAAGAGATCTGCAGAAAGACAATGCAATGATCAGTCAAGACATCATGCTATACTTTTGGCTTTCACTTCACACTTGCACCACAACAATTAGAGGGATTACAGGAGACTACATCCCTCTCGCTCCCCTGCCCTCTTTGTTCTGAGACGGTTGCGCTGGTCTCCAGTGAAACATGGCTTAACTGCCAGACAGTCTCCTACCTCTGGGCAGGACATTCCATGCAATGGTGTCTGTGATCGCTGTGAAGATCCAATTCAGTTCTCCCAGGGGAGTTCTCCTGTCATTCAGTCTTCCAGGAATCCTAGAAGAGAGACTTTCATTACTGCAAGACCGTTTCAGGCTGGACGTAAGGAAGAATTTCTTTACCGTCCGAGCCCCCAAGGTCTGGAACAGCCTGCCATTGGAGGTGGTTCAAGAACCTACACTGAACACTTTCAAGAGTAAATTGGATGCTTATCTTGCTGGGATCCTATGACCCCAGCTGACTTCCTGCCCTTCAGGTGGGGGGCTGGACTTGATGATCTTCCGAGGTCTCTTCCAGCCCTAATGTCTATGAAATCTATGAAATTACATATGGCACCATTAAATATATGCGTAACACGAAGCCCATTCCAAGGGCCGCAAGAGACACTATAATGTAGCTTTTATTTTATTAACAGAAGGTGTTTGGTCACTTTACCACCTTGGAAGCTTCCTGGTATTTGCTCCTGAAACAAGTGGACTCTGCACAATGTCCACGTTCCGGCAGACATCTTCCTCCACCTGTTAGTTTCCCTGCATTTTATTCTGTGCTCCTTCCCCCAGCTGGCTGCATTCTGTCTTCCTGGGACTTAAACTGACCAAGGGCTCAAATGGCTGAGACTGAATTTCTTCAACCAAAAAATAACAGGGTGAAAAGTAAAATGATGGCTCAAGAGCAGACACACCAGTGTGCTGTATAAATCAAAATATGCCGATCAGATAGTATGGGGGCCACGTGTACAAGAACAGTGAGAGAGACAGCTAACAGACTTGCAGGTCCACTCAGTATTTGGAAAACTCAAAGCCATGCCTACTCTAGGAGCATCTTGGCAGGGCAGGAATACTGCTATACACTACTGGCAAAGCACTGTCAGTGTGGATGCATCTTTAGTGGAAAAGCGGTGCTTCATACTGCTAGAGTTGAGCCACCACCATCAAGCAAAATGTGCTTTACTGGTAAAAGCCCAGTTCTACCAATATTACTGGGTGTACTAGGAGCTTCTGCTAGCACAGCAATGTCAGTCAGGAATCACACTGCTTCAGGACCCTCACTGGCACAGCTGTACTGTACAGCTGACAGTCTCTGGTAACTGGGGAGGAACTGGAAGAGTGGATGAAGAGCAAAACAGTTCAGATTTTCAAGGAAAAGAATGATTCCAAAAATCACCACCCTGTGAGTTGATCTTCTGTCTCTATGAAAGTGATGGAATAAATATGAAACGCTATCACTAAACAAGTGATTTAATAGTGGCCTTCAACTATCTGAAGGGGGGTTGCAAAGAGGATGAAGCTGGACTGTTCTCAGTGGGGGCAAATGACAGGACAAGGAGTAATGGGCTCCAGTTGCAGCAAGGGAAGTTGAGGGTGGAGATTAGGAAGAACTTTCTCATGAGAAGGGTAGCAAAGCACTGGAACAGGTTACCAAAGAGAAGTGGTGGACTCTCCATCCTTGGAGGTTTTGAAGACCTGGGTAGACAAAGCCTTGGCTAGGATGATGGAGGTGGGGCTGATCCTGTTTGGAGCAGGAGGTTGGACTAGATGTGACCTCCAGAGGTCCCTTCCTGCCCTCCTTGTCTATGATTCTAAGTAGAGGTCAATGCAAGCACAAGGAAACTTCATTCCCACGAAAAGAGCAATGTCATCTGGATCTGCTTGTGGCCTCTGCATTTTTGATGAAGGGCCACAAGCCAGGATAAGAAACAATGAGTTGAGCTGAGGAAAAGGTATCTTGGAAAGCGTGGAAGGCATAGGTGCTAGGTTCTGCAGGGTACCCTCCACCATTTTCTGATCAAACTTGCTTGTCTCCTTTCATTTTATCCACTCCCCAATTCTTTGGTTGAAGTGTATGTAATAATAAATATGATCAATAACACAAACGTTGTGCTCACATTCAACGGCTCACTGCGCACTGGGATGGATTCCCATTCCCGCAGAAGGCTGAACTCTGCAGTCAGAGACAATCAGAAGTAAGTGCGCCCTGCGCTGGAACACACAGCCCCTACTGTTACAGGTTTACGAGGGCAACAGGCATACTTTATTGCTCCCCGCTGCTGTACACTAATTAGAAAGGTATTGTCTGTCCATGGAAAAGTAAGACCTAGGGAGATGCTCATTATTCAAGCCAGGCTGCTGTTTTAGTAGGTTACAGGGAGTATGTGCATGCCTGAGACAGAAGTCATCAGCACTTGTTTCCTTCAACTATATGCAGCTCTTTCCCTTGTGAAGCTCTTTGAAAATCTGCCCCAAATGAATAGAAGGATGGTCATCTATCTTCATATCTCAATCACTACAGCATCCCGCTGCCAACATAGCATCTAGGTGAAAAGTTAATCAGCATAATCAAGGAATCAGGTAAAACATTTACATCCATTCAGTGGCTTCTTATTTTAACCCAAGACAGATCCTACAACCAAAGGCTTTCTGAGCAATGTGCCCATTTACTTGGAAGCCAGCAGTGGTGCAAGATGGATGTGTAGGATTAATAGTCCTGCCCTACAAAGACCTGACCGTGAAAGAGAACCAGGAACAAAACTTCTGTGAATCTGTGAGACGTGCGCTCTTCATTTATATTACATTTGCAGAGCAGCAAGAAGGATTCAACGAGACTTTGTCTAAAAAACATCTCCTGTTTTACATTCTCAGACTAACTGCAAAGGTCACCTTGAGGCCCATCTTTCAGCCAGTAAGCCATCAGGCTGCTGCCAAACACTTGCATTGTGGAGCCACAGAGTCACACACAAAACCATACCACAACCCGAGGTGCTGCGCTTGACCACCACTTTGGCTGTATTTGCTGTCTTTCAGGAGTCTGTCTGCCCCCAATAAATACAAATCCAGACTCAGACAGCACCGACTGGTGCAAGGTGCAGTGTATGATCACCTGAATCATCTTACTCACCCGTTTCCACCCATATCCCATTGCTTACAAAGTAAAACATCCATTAAAAGAATTTTCTGTCCACAGTGTTTAATATTCTTCGAAGAAAGTATATCTCTTTCTTGTGAAGCGTCAGGAGAGGCTAATACTATGTGAAGGGAGATGATAAGCAGCAGTTATTAGCTAGTGGCCTCAGTTCCCGTGGTTAGTGCTCGCATCCGCAGATAACGCCAGGTTGGGGATGGGAAGTAAACCACCACATCCACAAACAGGAGGATCTTGCCAGCAATATGCAGAGGGAGTCTACTGATGTCGTGGTGTCACACTCCAAATGCCCGCAAGTGCAATTTCCATTTTTATTTCATTTTTTTAAAGGAAAAAAAAGTGACACTGATCAATTCCTATGATGGCAGCTTTCCCAGCAGTGATCTATTACTTACTTCACTCATGTCTCAGGAGGCTCGGGGAGCCCCACAGGCCGAGCTTCTCAAAGGTTAGTGCCCGGCTATAAGAAATTGATGCAGAGCTGGAATCTGTACATGCAGAGACCCTCTTTCAAGAAAGCAAAACAAGAGTCGCCCGGGGTCAGCTGAACAGTCGACAAAGTGGCCGATAATTTACAGCGGATTTGCAAGAGATTATGGCAGCTGTAGTGTGTGTACTACCTCTGAAATGTTTAATACAGTCCACAGTCTTTTAAGTCTGTTCTGCCAGAATAGGAGTTTTATCATAGTTATTGAGCCAAATACAGGGCTAAAGAGATATTTTTCAATTTAGCCTTCACTTTGGTCTATGCTGAATATTCGTTTCCTAGTGAAAGGAGGTGACCTTGCCTCAGCACATGGCTTTGGTCAGACAAACTGAAATACTGTGTTCAGGTCCAGTGTCTACCTCTTAACAGCACTGTTGAAAATTTGACAGCTGTGCAAAAGAAAAAGAAACAAAAATTGAGTAAAGGGCAGAAAAAACTGCCCTGAAATGGCAGACCCAATCTGTTTAGCTTGGTATGAAGAGCAAGAAGTGACTTGATCACTATCTTCACGGAGAGAAAACAAGCACTCGATGTTCCTCATGCTACCTAAGAAACATATAAAAACTCAACGAAGGGAAGAGACGGTCAGAAAAATTCAAGTTACAAGTTGCGTTATTTCTAACAAGAGCAACTAATGCTATGTGCACATTAACAAGGGAGATAGGGGTTTCCTTATCTTTTGATGTTTGAGATGAAGTCAAGATCCCTCTACAGGAAATAAGCTTTTAGCCAAGCACAAGCTATTCAGCTCAACATGGGAGTACTTAGGTGGCCTCAAATATAAAAGAGGTCAGAACAGATAACGTAGCGATTCCTTCTGGCCTCAAAATTTATGAATCTGAGAACGAATACCCTGGGGGCAGCTGCCTAACACAAACTTATTCAATGAAGGAAAATAACAATAACCCTCTCTTACTGTGGCCAACCTCAGCGCACAGATTGAACAACAGACTTATTCTGCACTCCGCAGAGATACAGATTTTAATCGAAAAGCTTTTTCAGGAGGCCAGATGCAACTGTTCACTTGTGGATACTAGTCAGTAGGAACGGGCTATGTGCAGAACAGCATTATCTTGATGTGTATTTTGTCTGAAGGAGACCTAAGGGACAGGCCTCTTCCCCACGCCAGCAAACAGAGTCTTATTATTTCTAAACAGAGCTTGGGCAGGGCAACCCTCGGCTTCAGGAATACTCCAACTTGCTCCATTCGAGAGCTGAACCAACAACATGCTGAGAGCTAGAAATTAAACGGAACATACATTGTACTTGCTCATTTTCAATACAGGCGACAAACTTTGGATGTGATCCACATGAGCCTAAACCACATGTGCTGGGATCCAAAGTCCCTTCAGGACGGAGCCCTTGTTAAAAGACATGTGGCTCTGGACTGCTCTTTGGCCTTCCATGACCTACTGGATCCATCCATCCACCCATCCATCACTTCAGACTAATGCCATTTTAAACTCCTTTTCCGGCACTAATCCGCTTCCCATCAGCAGTGACCAAGCCCATTCACACTGGTTCTGAACTCTTCTCTTAATGCTCAAACCTGGCTCAGAGCAGGCATGGCTGGCACCCTGCCAGCACAGCTCTTCTTGACGGAGACTGAACCAGAGATCAGCCACGATCAGCACGCTCTGGAAATGTGCAG